TTCAATTTTAAAATGTCTGGCAGATTGTTTCCAGCCCTGAAATGCAAAGTATATTTTCATGGTGGATAATTACAGTGATTAGACTGAAACATCATTAACTCAGGCTGGTCCTTTGTCAGAAAGAAAACACGTGACTACCAAGGGCACCATCTCACCACGGCTAAGTTCACGTCTCACGTGTGTCAGTGTGTGTATCTGTGTATGCAACTGTGTTGGTGAGTAAATATGTCAGTGTATGTATCTATGTGTTAATGTGTGTGCGCACATATCTGTGTGCCAGGATGTACATCTGTGTATATGTATGTGTATCTGTGTGTCAGTATGTGTATCTGTGTTTAATGGTGTGTGCATGTGTCAGGGTGTGCGTTTGTGTGTATATGTTGGTGAATGTGTATGTGTCGGTGTGTGTATCTTTGTGTGTGTTGTGATAAAGTGAAGGCAGATAGGCCTTTTAACCCCAGGGGAAGTATGTGTAGTTTGTGTGTTGCACAACACAAAGCTTTGTTTAGTTATGGGCCCCTGGGGTGGAGCATTTGGAGAGAAGGGTGGGCCAATGCTCCACTCCACAGTTTAGTGGTTTTCTGGGGAGACATAGATCCAGGCCAGGGTTTTTTGGACCGTCTCCAACCCACTGCTCAGCTGCAGTTAATGAGCTGTTGCAGTGGGAATAAACCCCTCCCGGCTAGGCAGGAAAAGGAGGGGGAATTGCTGGCTTCCTCCCAGGAAGCAGGTAGGAGAGAGGCTGTTCTCTCCAGATAGAAAGTCAAGGAGACTAGGCACTGGGAGTGCAGAAAGGAAGCAGTCAAGGCTGGCTTGGAGCACTGGGAGTGCAGAAAGGAAGCAGTCAAGGCTGGCTTGGAGCACTGGGAGTGCCGGAGGAAGCAGTCAAGGCTGGCTTGGAGCACTGGGAGTGCAGAAAGGAAAGCAGTCAGGGCAAGGCTGGCTTGGAGCACTGGAGAAAGAAAAGCAACAGGCTAGCTAGCAGAGTGTTGCTATCTAATAAGGTTGGTACAGTATGTTTTGTTAATTTAACCCTGATAGAGAGGGTTATTCAAAGTGAGTCAGTGCTTAGACGAGCTAGGTTTTTTTGTTTAAAGGGAAACCTGTTATATTTATGTTTTCATTTGCTGCTGCCTCATATGTAAACTTACAAATAAAGTGCCTGGAATGAAGTTGCATTAAAAGACTGTGCCTGTTTTTGCCCTAGAGGACCGTGCTACCTGCTGACAAGGATCACAGTGTGTATGTGTCGATGTCAATATGAATTTGTGTGTATGTGTCAAGTGTATTTATAGGTTTCTGAGTGTTAATGTTTATGAATATCTGTGTAAGTCTGTATGTGGCAGTGTATGTGCATACATCCAAGCAATCAAACACCAGCAAAACATACAAACACCCCTGCAATCTAACACAAATATTACATACAAACACAACCCTACCATCAAACACCAAAATTATATACAAACACCCCCCCGTCATTCAAACACCAATACTACACACAAATGTACACTTGTATTTAAAAGCTAACATTAAAATCAAAACACACCTGCAACCAAACACAAACATTACATACAAACACATCCCTGTATTAAAACACTAACATTTTATACAAGCACCCCTTCAATCAAACACCAACACTATACATTATACTACAGTGCCAGTATATGCCGCAGTGCTACACAGATATAAAACTTAAAACTTTGTTTTGACTTGGAAAAATATGAGGAGGGAAGAGAAAAGGTTTAGCTATTCCTGATCTCATGCAGCCTAACAGATTTGCCCGTTTGAGTGAAGATGTTGGGAGCATCAGCTCAGGAGTAGCTGTACTGCAGGAAGCTGTTCCTTCTGAGAGCTGTGGGAACAGCCCCTCTAGTACGGGTGGGGTTGAGAGGGTAAGAAAGTCTAGACAGGTTGTGGTGGTAGGGGACTATTATTAAGAGAGTAGATAGGGTAATCTGCCACTCTGATCGACTCAACCGGACAGTTTGCTGTCTCCCGTGTGCTCGGGTCCGGCATGTTGCCGACAGAGTGGAGGGATTATTGGAAGGGGCTGGAGATGACCCAGCTGTCATGGTCCATATTGGTACCAATGACAAAGTCAGAGGAAAATTGAAGGTCCTAAAGAATGACTTCAGGGAACTAGGAAGTAAGCTAAAGAAAAGGACCTCCAAGGTAATTTTTTCAGAAATATTATCTGTGCAGCGCGCTACAGCAGAAAGGCAGCGGGAGATTAGAGAGGTCAATGGGTGGCTAAAGTCTTGGTGCAGGAAAGAGGAATTTGGGTTTTTAGAGCACTGGGCCAATTTTGCGCTTGGGTACAACCTGTATAGTCATGATGGATTGCGCCTAAACGGAAGAGGGTCTGCTGTGCTGGGGGATAGGATGGCTAGAAGGTTGGAGGAGATTTTAAACTAGTGGTGGGGGGGGGAGGGTCAAAGCAATCTAGGAAATGGAGATAGGATGGAAAGGAGATGGGCTTTAGCTCAGAACAAAGGGGGTGGAGATGGGGGGAGGGGAAAGCTCAGAACAGAGGAGGTATGTAATATTGATCATTCGCAAAAAGTACAAGAGGCTCATGATAATATTAAATGTATGCTTACTAATGCAAGGAGCCTATTTAACAAAATGGGGGAACTAGAGGCAATAGCATACACTAAACAATATGATATAATAGGCATAACAGAAACATGGTGGGATGAGACACATGACTGGGCAGTTAATTTAAATGGGTACACGTTATTTAGGACGAATAGGAAAAACAAGAAGGGTGGTGGGGTATGTTTATATATCAACCATGAGGTAAAGTCAAATCTTAGGCATGTGGAGTGTGACGAGGAAAATGTGGAGGCTTTATGGGTAGATATCTGCCTAGGGCAAACAAAGGGAAATCAGTTATTGGTTGGGATATGTTATAAACCAACTAATGTAAATATTATTGAGGAAGAACAGCTGTTAGAGCAAATTGAGAAAGCTGCAAATCGAGGTAACATGTTAATTATTGGAGATTTTAATTACCCAGACATAAATTGGGATAGAAGGACTAGTACTTCAGCAAGGGGAATCAGGTTTTTGAATGTGTTAAATTACACCTTTATGTCACAACTGGTACAAGCAACAACTAGAAAGGATGCTTGTTTGGATCTTGTCATAACAAACAATGTTGATCTTTTAACCAACATTCAAGTCGGGGAGCATTTGGGAAATAGTGATCACAATATGGTAAATTTTGAAATAAACTCAAAAAAGCAAAAGCAAGTGGGGTATACTAAAACATATCATTTAAAAAAAGCCAATTACAATAAGATTAGGGCAGCTCTACAACATATCGACTGGCATAAACTCCTTAGTGATAAAAACACTTAGGATAAATGGAAACTATTCAAACAAATATTAGAAAGGTACATTTCTCAGTATGTACCATTGGGTAATACATATAAAAGAAACAAATTAAAACCAATGTGGCTTAGTAGAGAAGTAAAACAAGAGATTAAAAATAAGAAAAGGGCATTTAAAGCATTTAAATCAGACAAATCAGAGGCATCCTATTTAAGATATAAGGAAGCCAGTAACGCTTGCAAAAAGGCAATTAAACTAGAAAGTGAGAAATTGATAGCTAAAGAATGCAAAAGGAACCCCAAAAATGTTTTCAAGTACATAAATTCTAAAAAAAAAAAAAAAATGAAACTGTAGGTACACTGGAAACAGAGTTGGGTTTATTAGCTAATGAAGACCAGGAAAAAGCAGAAATTTTAAATAACTATTTCTCTATTTAACTATTAATGAGGATCCTATGGCAAGAGATATGCAAATGATGGCTGCAAAAAACTTGCAAATAACTTGTGATTGGATAACTCGAGACAAGGTGCTACTGCTATTAAAGAAAATTAATGTAAATAAAGCTCCAGGGCCTGACTGTATTCACCCACGAGTACTTAAGGAGTTAAGTGGGGAAATAAGTGAACCTCTGTATTAAATTTTTCAAGATTCTTTTGTTTCAGGTGTTGTACCGCAGGATTGGAGGAAGGCAGATGTTGTTCCTATATTTAAAAAGGGTTCAAAATCCTGGAAATTATAGACCTGTGAGCTTAACTTCTGTAACTGGGAAAATATTTGAAGGGCTATTAAGGGATAATATTGATGAATTCATTGGGGAGAACTTTGTTATTAGCAATAATCAGCATGGTTTTATGAAACATAGGTCATGTCAAACTAACCTAATTGCATTCTACGAAGAAGTAAGTAGAAGTATAGATCAGGGTGTTGCAGTGGATGTGATCTACTTGGATTTTGCCAAGGCATTTGATACGGTTCCTCACAATAGGTTAGTCTTCAAACTAAAAGAAATTGGTCTAGATGAATATTCCTGTTCTTGGGTAGAACATTGGCTTAAGGATAGAGTACAAGGAGTTGTAATTAATGCTACATTTTCAGGCTGGACTAAAGTGGTAAGTGGTGTCCCTCAGGGTTCTGTTTTGAGACCACTTCTATTTATCATATTTATAAATGATCTTGAAATAGGCATTGAAAGCCATGTATCAGTGTTTGCAGATGACACAAAACTTTGTAAAGTAATAAAATGTGAGCAGGATATTGCTTTGCTGCAGAGGGATTTGGAGAGATTGGGGGACTGGGCACTAAAATGGCAGATGAAATTTAACATAGAGAATCGCATAGTTATGCACTTCAGGGTTAAGAATGCACAATCAACTTACACACTAAATGGTAGTGAATTAGGGATAACCACACACAAGAAGGATTTGGGAATTGTTATAGACAACAAATTAGGCAGCAATATGCAATGTCAATCTGCAGTTGCTAAGGCCAGTAAGGTTTTGTCATGTATAAATAGGGGCATAAATTCTCGGGATGAAAATATGATTTTGCCTCTTTATAAATCGCTGGTAAGGCCACACCTTGAATATGCTGTGCAATTTTGGGCATAGGCGTGCGCAGCCTATTGCATTAGGGTGTGCACCCTAAAGCACAAACACACGCCGCATGTGTGTGTGTGTGTGTGTGTGTGTGTGTGTGTGTATGTATATATATATACATATATATACACACACACACACACACACATATACACTGCTGTGTGTGCTGTTAGTGTGCTGTGTGCTGTTAGTGTGATGTGTGTGTGAGGGTGCTGTTAGTGTCATGTGAGGGTGTTTGTGTGTGTTTGTGACTGTGCTGTTTGTGTGTGGGGGTGTGGGGGTGTTTGTCCTGTGAGGATGCTGTTTGTGTGAGTGCCGTGTATTTGTGAGGGTGCTGTTTGTGTGTGTTTGTGAGGGTGCTGTGTTTTTTTTTTTTAAAGGTGCCGTGTGTGTTTGTGAGGGTGCAGTTAGTGTACTGTGCGTGTGTGAGCTGTATGTGTGTAGGTGCTGTATGTTTGGAGGGATTGTGGAGGTGGGGGCAGATTAGTAAATCCTTGCTGCCACGTGCCATCCCTGGTGGTCCAGTGGAGAATGAACTCTAGCCTGCGGGGCTAGAGTTAACTCTCGCGAGATCTGAGCGTTGCTGCAGCAATGCTCAGATATCGCGAGAGGAACCTGGCGTACACACACACACACACTCACAGACACATTCAGACACACACACGTACACTCAAAGACACACACATTAACAGACACACACACAGACACACACACTCACAGACACACACATACAAATTATATTTTAATAATACAATGTCTACCCAGCCTCCCTACCTGGAGTGCTGGCGTGGACTTTTCCCTGGGGTCCAGTGGGGCGGGCACCTCTACGCATCTCAGCCGCGGCGAGGGAGCTGTCTGCTCTATCTGGGAGCCGGAATATGACGTCATATTCCGGCTCCCGGCATCAGCGCGCGGCGAGAGGGAGCAGAGAGCAGACAGCTCCCTCGCAGTGGCTGAGATGCAGAGAGGGGGGTATCCATCACCTCTTGCCCTCCCCATGACAGGGGCAAGAGGTGAGACAGGGGGTGCTGAGTGCCTGCAGGAACAGCGTTCCTGCTCAAAAAAAAGTGCAGGAACGCTGTTCCTGCAGGACTCAAACCATAGGCGTGCCATGGGGATTAGGGTGTGCCCAGGCACACCCGGCACACCCCGTGCGCACGCCTATGATTTTGGGCGCCTGTTCTAAAGAAAGATATCATGGCAACAGAAAAAGTCCAGAGACAAGCTACAAAATGGATAAAAGCAATGGAGCATTTTAGTTATGAAGAAAGGTTAAAAAAATTTAATCTGTTTGGTTTGGAAAAACGGCGCCTGAGAGGGGATATGAAAACTTTATACAAATATATTCAGGGCCAGTACAAACCTTTATCTGGAAATCTATACATAAACAGGGCTATACATAGGACACAAGGTCACACATTTAGGCTGGAAGAAAGGAGATTTCATCTAAGGCAAAGAAAATGTTTTTTTACAGTAAGAGCAATAAGGATATGGAATTCTCTGCCTGAAGAGGTGGTTTTGTCAGAGTCACTACAGATGTTTAAACTGCAATTGGATAAATACTTACAAAAACATAACATACAGGGATATAATTTCTAATTAGTGGGGTAATAGCTGCTTGATCCAAGGAGACGTCTGACTGCTATTTTGGGGTCAAGAAGGAATTTTTTCCTAGTTTGTGGCAAAATTAGAAGCGCTTAAGACTAGGTTTTTTTGCCTTCTTTTGGATCAACAGTAACAACATATGTGAGGAAGGCTGAACTTGATGGACGCAAGTCTCTTTTCAGCTATGTAACTATATAATGGCACCTGAAACCTAAAAAGTTTGGGAACCACTGCTATATGCTTTCTCAAGTGTTTATAACAATGATATGATAACAGGGAGGTTAAGATGGTGGCACAGGATTTACAGGTGTGGATTTCTACTTTTAATTGTATTAATTGCACATCACATACACATATTTCTTAAATATAGGGGGGGGGGGACATAAAAACATAGAATGTGACGGCAGACAAGAACCATTTGGCCCATCTAGTCTGCCCAATGTTCGAAATACTTTTAATTAGTCCCTGGCCTTATCTTAAGTCTAGGATAGCCTTATGCCTATCCCACGCATGCTTAAACTCTCACTGTGTTAACCTCAACCACTTCAGCTGGAAGGCTATTCCATGCATCCACTACCCTCTTAGTAAAAAGTAATACTTCCTGATATTTTTAAACCTTTGCCCCTCTAATTTAACCTCTTGTTGTGGTAGTTTTTCTTCTTTTAAATATGGTCTCCTCCTTTACTGTGTTGATTCCCTTTATGTATTTAAATGTTTCTATCATATCCCCCCGTCTCGTCTTTCCTCCAAGCTTTACATGTTACGATCCTTTAACCTTTCCTTGTAAGTTTTATCTTGCAATCCATGAACCAGTTTAGTAGCCCTTCTCTGAACTCTTTCTCAAGTATCAATATCCTTCTGAAGGTACGGTCTCCAGTACTGCGTACAATACTCCAAGTGAGGTCTCACCAGTGTTTTGAACAATGACATGAGTACTTCTCTCTTTCTACTGCTAATGCCTCTCCCTATACAACCAAGCATTCTGCTAGCATTTCCTACTGTTCTATTACATTGTCTTCCTACCTTTAAAGGGACACTCCAGGCACCCAGACCACTCCAAATGCCAACTCCCACTACCCTTAACCCTGCAACTGTAAAAATTTATATATAAATACGGATCAAAAATATTCATAGAGGCAGTCAGCTAGACTTTTATCCTCTTCTACATACCTTCCTTCTTTTGTTTTTAATCTCACTAATCCTTGTTTTAATTTCCTTTTCTCATTTATGTATCTAAAAAATGTTAGTTTTTTTTCCCCTTGTTTACCGACTGTGCTATTTTCTCTTCTGTGTGTGCTTTGGAGGTTCTTATAACTTGCTTAGCCTTTTTCTGCCTAATCTTATAGATCTGTCTTCCTCACTCCAAGCACTTTTTTTATAATTACTAAATGCTACCTTTTTGTTTACTATTTTGGCCACTTCTGCGGAGTACCACAGTAGTTTCTTAATTTTTCTGCTCTTCCTGACTAACCTAATGGAATTTTCTGTTGCTTTCAGTAAGTGCAACTTTTAAATAATCCCATTTCTCTTGGACTCCATTTAAATTGCTCCAGTCTGATAATGACTCCTTTACGCATATTCTAATTTTTTAAATCTGTTTTTCTAAAGTCTAAAACTTTTGTTTTTGTGTGGTGTGTCACTGTTCTTATATTAAACCACACTGACTGATGATCACTGGATCCTAAACTTTCACCTACAGTAATATCTGATACTAAATCTAGTATGGCCTCCTTACGAGTTGGTTCCTCAACGATTTGTTTTAGAGATCATCCCAGTAGAGAGTTTAGAAAATGTGTGCTCCTGGCACAAGCAGCTGTTTTGGTTTTCCAGTTCACATCCAGAAGATTAAAGTCACCCATGATAATAACTTCGCCCTTCATAGTCATTTTAGCTATTTCCTTAACTAGTAGATTATCTAACTCTTCTATTTGTTCAGGGGGCCTGTAAATCACACCTACACAAGTTACTGTGTGATTTCCAAATTCTACTATTTCTAACTGGATGGCTGCCCACTTCCTTAAACTAAAACTTGACCAAAACTGAAATTCTAGTCTTCCTTCCTTCAAGTGTTGTTACTTCTGTGTCTGTCTCCCACCAAGTCAACGGTGCTACCATCAGCTCTACCACGCAGACTCGCTGCCTAGGTGTTCTCTTTGACTTCAGCCTCTCCTTCAAGCCTCATGTTCAGTCAATCACCAAATCTTGCCATTTCCATATTTAAAAAAATTGTGCGCATCCGCCCCTACTTAACGCCTGATGCGACTAAGGTGCTGGTCCATTCCACTGTCCTTTCTCGCCTTGACTACTGTAATCCGCTTCTCAGTGGTCTTACGTGCTCCCAACTTGCACCGTTACAGTCCATAATGAATGCGGGGGCGAGGCTCATCTTCCTGTCCGCCCACACCTTCCATGCCTCACCCTTCCGTCAGTCCCTACATTGGCTTCCTACAAGATATAGAACTCTGGTTCTTGCTTTCAAATCTCAACATAATGCTACTCCCACCTATCTATCCTCCCTTATACACAAGTATGTCCCATCTAGGCCCTTACGATCTGCTGAAGATGTACGTCTATCTTCTGTCCGTACTCCCACCTCTGATGCTCGCCTTCAAGATTTCTCGAGGGCTGCACCGCTCCTGTGGAACTCACTTCCCTCCTCTATTAGATGCTCACCCAGCCTCCACTCCTTGAAAAAGAATAGTTAAAAACCCACTTCTTCATAAAAGCGTATCAATTGAACTGTTAATAGCTCCCAACTGATTCCTCTTCTGCAACTGTCACTAGTCGAATACTATCCTTACCTTTTTGTGTTATTTTACCCCACTACCTCTAGCATGTAAGCTCATTGAGCAGGGCCCACAACCCCTCTATTCCTGTGTGTCCAACTTGTCTGGTTACAACTGCAGAATTTGATGGCGCTATATAAATAACATAATAATAATAATAATAATAATAATAATAATAATAATACACGGCCACCGCTCCCACTTTTTTGCCTTCTCTGCCTTTTCTATATAAGGAGTAGTATTGCTATATCCCAGTCATTTTTCTCATTTTACCATGTCTCAGTAACAGCCACTAAATCTACATTCTCAGTTGCCATTATTGCTACAAGTTCATGGATCTTATTCCCTAAACTGCAAGCATTTGTAGACATGACTCTAAGCTCATAATTTTTTTAACACACTTGTTACAGTCCTTGTTTTGTATTGATGTTTTATAACCATTTTGTCCCCCCTCCTAGTTTAAATACTTCCTAGCAAAACCTCTGAACCGCTTGCTGAGAACATTTGTTCCCTTTTGAAAAAGATGCAAACCATCATTTTGTACAGTTAATTTCTATTTCAAAAAGAGCTACCATGAGAAACAAAGCCAAATCTTTCCTCCCGGCACCATTCACCAAGCCACAAGTTAAAGTACCTAATACGTATCTGCCGGTCATTCTGAATGTTTTGCACAGCAGAACTTCAGAGAATGGCATGAACACAAAACACTTCCTTTACCTCAGAAACCTCATTACAAGACAAATCATTTGTCCCAAGATGGACAAGT